TACCTCAAAATTTTTCCTAAACAATTATCTTATATTCCATTCAATAAATCACAAAAAAAAAGTGATGAATTCTTTTTGGGACATAGGATCCCGTGTCGTTCATGATACCACACAATCTGGTCTAAGAATATGTATGACTACAACATCAACAGAGAAACAAGAGATAATAATAAGGAGAGAGATGAATTATCCCCCTTTTGAAAATGAGAGAGAGAAAGAGAGAGTAAGGGAGCCAGGAACCCGACATACATCCCCTTTTCCCTTTTTTCTCTCTCTTTTCTAGAGGAGATATCATTCTCTCTCAAATATTGAATAACGTGTTTTCTTCCTGGGCAAGCCTCTGTTGATCTTTTTGATGGGAAGACTTTAATGAGGATATAATCTTCCCCCTATATATAATCCAATGCCGACGATATAATGGTTGTCCCGACGGGTTGTCTTGGAAACTGACAAAGACATTTATGGTTGATTGGATGTTATCTCCGATTGGATCAGACTAAGTTTAGATGATTGAGGGTGATCTATTCACTTCGTTAAGTGGGTCTGGTAGAAAGCACTTCAGTAAGTACGCTCGGTTCGACCCGTTCGGGCGATTGGAGATTCGATTACTTTGGTGAATGGGCTCAGTTCCACAATCAGGAAGCTATAAATGAAAATATGTTTTTTTTTTCAAAATTAAAATAGTGATATTATTTATATGATTTGAAAGATTTGAGTTATATAAATGTAAAATATTAAAATTTAGGCGTTAGGTATGTCCATAGATAGGCATTAGATGGCATATATGTATATATTTGCATGCCCCCTAAAAAAAATCAATGCATTAGCACAGAAAGTTGGCATAAATAAATGAAGTAAAATATACAGTTGTGGTGATGACATAAATGAATAACTCATCAAGTTGGTACTACCATCATTTCATAATAATATCTACTTTGTTTGCTGCATTATATTGCATTTACTTTAATATTTTCCCAAAATATCTTCTATTGTTTATCTACATAGCTTTCTAATTTTTTGTTAATTATTTTTCATATATTTCTTTCCCAAATTAATAAACACACGTGTTACATATGTTTGTTATTAATAATGTTCATTGAATCCCTTTTAATGTACTGCTATTGGAATCATTTTCAGCATTGACAAACAAGTTCCTTGTCATCTCCAATTATAGAAAAATAACATTATACATCTTCCCATAATGTTGATTGTACACCAAATTATAGCTATATATATTTGAGAAAGGTTTATATATGAGTAAGATGCAAGGATCAATTGACCATAGGGGCCTCGGAGGCTCGTGAAGCAGACCAAGCCCACTTGTTGAAATTGTCAAACCAAAACCAACTACTGAACTTGTCGAACCAAGCCCGCCTACCGAACTTTTCGAACCAAACACACCTGCCGAAGTGATCTGACTAGCCCGGGGCAAACCCAACATCAAAGAAAATCATCATTATATAAGAGTAACTTTTCAAGAAGACACCATAGATAGATGTAGTATCACACGGAAGTAAGTTTTATAATTTTTTTTTATCGTACTTTCTCTTGTGTATAAAAAGGATGAGGACAATCTAAAGGAGGATCGTCTCCCTAAACTATTTTCTGTGCACCATTTTCTAGGGAATCAAAAGAGGAAGCAAGAACATAAACTCCAGCAGCACATTCTCCATCTCCTTTTGTACCTTCCTCCTAAAACAAAATCTCCCTCAAATTATATGAGCCCACGAACAATATGAAATCCTGCACCGTCCTAAAATTATTCAAGATAGACCATTGACTTCTCTTGAAACACATCCAAATGTCAATAATCTTCCTTAAACAACTTGGTGGCACGTGGCATCTAAGTGTATTTTTTTGTAATCTCAAAGAAGCCTCACGCACTTGATGCAATGAACTTAAACAAATCCTTGCCAATGGGTACGTCAACTTAAGTCGACGCAATTTTGTTTTAATGCTAACTATTACAGTGAATGATAAAAATATTTTAATAATAATTATTACAAATTTTAATAATAAATATTTAGCACGTGTGAAATTATTTTTCTGCAAACTCATGGGGGGACATATGCATGGTAACTAGTGTTAAGAAAATAATCAATAAGAGGAGTCATGCCACAATTAGCAATCTTACTAAGGTGATAAATGAGAAAACACAAGATCGGTTAGATCATGTGAGGTTACAACAAGGGAGAAACATTACCTTTGCTAATATATATATATATATATATATATATATATATAT